GCCTAAAAAGGCATTTCCATAAAGTTCAGTTTCATTTCATGGATGAGGGTAAGTTTCGTTTTCATTTCTTTCTGATGGTGGCAGCAGTTTCATTTCTCTGCTGTGAGCTAGACGGTGTATAAAAAAGCTGCCTGAGCCTCTCAGTGCTTCAGTGGATTCCTCACCATCAGAAAGAGAAATGTCCGACCAAAATGTCCGCAACGCTGGTTTCTCTCCCTCCGGGATCACAAGAGATTCGCTTGCTTCATCAATGATGTCCCGTGAAGCGAAAGCTTCTGGGGGAGGTGTGCACTCTGGAGGCCCTACCTCTACTCTCCAGGAAATGGGTATGAGTTATTCTGTGTGTGTGTGGTTTTGTGGTTTACTGCATAAAGACAAAGAGGGTTTTTTACTTGAAAATAAGCTTGGCAAGTAATCTCTTCTCTCTTACCTTCTCTCTTACCTTATGGACCTTACAGTCTATACTGCACTGAAGACAAATGATTTCTATATTGAACTTTGTGTTAGGAGCGGGATGCTATGAAGAGTATTTTCTATATAGGTACATATGCACAAATATACACATGCCTATGAGATTCAGGGCAGTGTTTTGTTTGATGTTTGTGCTATCTCTTCATTCTGCTAGGTATCATCAATAATATGGGAATTTGTAGTAGCAATAAGCAACAATACACTTATGCAAGAACATGATCTGTGTACTTATATTTCATATAAATTATCAGATTTCCCTTGCTCTTTACTCACAAACATCCATACAGGGAGAACCCATAAAATGTTATGCAGACACTATAGCGAAGGAAAATTAGCTGCAGTGCAAGAGCTGAATTCATGAAGGGAATATATACACATTCTTGACAGCATGTATATAAGTCCTAAAACTAGGCATAGCTGGCTTTCACATGAGCTAGCCCTGCTTGCTTTTCTGTTGCATGCACAGAGCAATGCCTGACCTGATGACCCTAAGCAGCTTGGTACCCATTTAACCCCAGATCCCGTGGGATTCATGCATAACATATTCTCCCTGCCAGTCTTGCCTGTGTGACCTGGTTCAGCAGGCATCTCTAAGAAAGCATCACTCCACAGAAAACAGTGACCCGTACAGTCCTGCTTTACCCAGCAGTACAGTAGTTAGCATGCTGACTTGGATAAAGGCTTCCAAACACTTTCTGCCTTAGACCCATATCTCCCACATGTCAGGAGCACACTAACCAGCAGGCTGGTTATAGGTGGGGATCTCTGCCATGTTGGTCATGTTCTGGTCTACTCCTTTCGTAGTAAGCAGCCGGAAGTCTACTGAAGGATGGAGCTGAAATCTTCCAGACATAAAATGGGTGGTTGGCTGAGTGAGCTGGCCAGGGTCCAGATTTTGGGCACCTTTTAACAGTAAAAAATGTGATAAACTTAATTAAGAGGAAGTAAGTTAATTTTTTAAGGTATGATTCTCACTGCAGTATTATTCATAGTGTGTGGCCCTCCAGACAGAGAGGGATTAAGTGACATTAAATTACTTCAGAGAGATACTGCATGTGACTCCATGGGGCATGTTTTAATATTTATTCTGTATGGCTTGATCATTGCGTTTAGGTTACTGAGTACAGTGTTTATTGAATATTTAATAGCAAAGAGATGAAGGGATAGTAGCAGCAGAGGAACAGAAGATGAGAGAGAATCAGGAGAGGAGCAGAACTGGGAGAGCTTGAGAGATGCCCTCAAGCACCATGCTGCATTAGCAGGAGAAATCCTGGTACACAGAAGAGGCCAGTTACTTAATCTAGTCATACACAGAGTCACCTGCACAGTCTTGCCTACAGCAGTACTTGGTCAGTGGCAAACTCTTCAGTGGTGATGCCACTGAAAAACACGAAGTTGTAGTTTTCCAGAGAAGCAAAGTAAACATTTAAAACCACCTAGTTTTATTCTTGCAATGTCTGTATCAACTGTGGACTTTAATGAAACCCACTATTTTGGTGAAGAGAAATCTGCATGACTCAAGGAAACCTTAGACATGCCTACAGGAGATACTCCAAAAGAGCTTTTATCCATGTGAAAAATGCTAGCTCTGTAATGTTGCCAAGACAGGTGTGAGCTTTGGCTCCCTGCAGCAGGAGAGCTTGCCACACATTCTTTGCCTGATTGAGAGCTAAAAGGGCCTGATTTCATTTCCGCAGGTGCTCACTGAAATCTCTCACTCTTCAAACACATCTTCTTAACCTTTTCGTTCAGACTGTAACCATTCCTCCCCCCAGAACAAACACGCTCAGAGGAGCGGCTGATTCTGCAGCAGGGCATGAGTATTGTTCAGTATCACTTTACAGATGATATTACAACAAGCTCATCACCAAAATATTTGAGCATTCTCCAGGAATGCTTTAAGCATTATCACTAACATTTGTCATCATTAATGCTTTACTCCTCTCCCAGGAGAAGAAATTGCAGTGGAATACTTTACTTCGGGCTTATTTTTACTGAGATGGAGTTATATATAGAAATTGTCCACTAGCCACCACAGGGTTTGAATTTGACAGGTATCTATTATGTACAGGTTTATGCTATGGAAAGTGAAGTGAAAGGAACATATCTGTCACCTGGAACAGTAAGCGGTGAAGCCTGCAACAACCCTTAGTTCCTGTAGGAATTTGTTCCACTGTCCTCAGGTAGCTCCTCAGCACAGACAAACTGCTGAAACTGTTTTGGTGATCTATGAAAAACAGTCTGCACAAGAGTTGTAGATTTTCTTTGTGTTCTGGAACTATCCACAAAACACTGCACACATCCTTTCCCCAGGGTGGCAGCTAAAAAGCAGTATACTGATGGAATGAGTCATCAGCAAGTAACCAGCAGTCCCCCTGACTTTTGGTACATTTGTTAGCCTTGTTAGTAGTTCATAATTACCCCATAAGGTCCTTTCCAGTCAGTAATATCTCCTTTGTATCTGTTCTAGGTGCCAGAGGCTCAACCCATTCATCAGGTTTTACCGACAGTGGCATCTCTGCTGCATCCCGGGCCTCCCAGATGATGTCCAAGGAGGCCAGCTCTCATGGAGGTGGAACTCCCCGGGGTGGTACAACATCCACTGTTCAATCCATCTGTGAGTGAGAGTCCTCATACAGATAGATGATTAGCAGGTGACCTCTGAGAAGTCACCAGTATTTCAGCTCAAGAGTACATTTACTAGATGAAGGGATGTACATAAGAGAAGTGGCTTCACTGTGCTTGAAGCAACATTTCTCCTGTTTATTGCTTTATACTTGCTGGGAAGCTGAAACTAGGGAACCAAGGGAAATAGCTATGCCACAAGGTTGCAAAGGTATGGGTGGATTGCAGAGACAGAAATCTGAAGCAAGTAGTGACAGAAAGAAATCCCATGGAAGTTTAGGTTATGCGTTCATCAGCACCACAGTGGAAGTTCACTAACTTTTAATTTCAAACACAACTTCAGGACCAAACCAAGAGCTTCACACTTGAACATACAAAACAGTGGGATGACATAATTAAACATGAGAATGGAGTTATCAGACTGAGAGCCAGTAATCATAAAGTCCACTTCTTGTGGCCTTTTAGAACAGTTTAGCTTTTTTTCCTTTAAAGGAAATTCAGTGGGTCAAAAGCAGACACTTTTTGAGCTAGTAAATGGAGTCTAATCTGCACTTACTAGCTCAAAGCAGAGAACAACACAAGTTTTCCTCATCACCCTGCCATGTTAATGCAACCCACACCTAGTTAAATGAAACCAAGATATGAGGAGGCTTAGTCTGTACCTGTATGCACCATAAGGATGCTAATTATTGTAGTGGGATCCTGTGGGGTTTGCAAGAGAACTGGAGACAGGATTGAAGCTATGAATTTGAAAACTGTTTTTCAAAGTGTAACGCAGACCCTTTGGTCTCTGACCTGGAAACGTTTGTAACCAATGCTCAGATATTCTGTGTTCCCCTATGCTGCAATTTTGCTTTAAGTTGTTCTCCCATGTTTGTATTTGTCCTTAGCAATGGGTGGCAAAGGAGGAAGACACTGAATAGAAGAAAAACATCAGTCCAGAAGTAAGCTCTGCAAGCAGTTCATCCTTTACCAGCAGTTATCTGACAGCTCCTCACCTTCTTTGCTTTCCCTGTCACTGCATGAAAGGCAAAGCCTTTTACACATGCACAAATAAAGTACATTACAATTGTGGATTCTTGCATTAAACTAATGGGGACAGGAATGAGGGGCAGTTTCTTCCTTGATTAAACATCCTCTGAAGCACGGGCACATAATGAACACAAGCTGGTATGTGGACGCTAAGGTACTTTGGACTGCATGGGTGCCTTACTAAATTCCTGGGCTTAGCAACACTGGACTCTCCAATTACAGGTAGCTTGCTTTGTTTGTTTTACAAAAAGCGACCAGAGTGCAAAAGTCACCCTGTTGTGAGAAAGAACCACAGAAACACTTGGGAAGGGGCATCCAGCAGCTCCCTTTGGATGTGCTTCTACTGGGCTATCAACTTAAATCCTATTTAATTAAGAATACACACAAGCAACTGAGAGCAGGTCTCAATAAATCTCATACCTTAGAGATGCAACTGATATTTTTATCCCTCTATTTCTAAGGTTCCTTTCACGTTAATTTAGTTTAAAGCCCCTGTTTGTTTATTGAGAAGTGTCAGCTTTGTCACAGCTAGACAAAAATTACTCCCGTAAACTTCTTATGATACCTGAGAAAAGATAAGGAAAAGAGACATCTTCTCTGGAATAGATGTCACTGCTGGGGCTTTTTGCTCTTACCCACATGCCAGACTCTTTTCTTTCATATGTATTCATACAAAACACACATAATGCTGTCCATTTGCTATGCAAATTCCCACTTACATTCTCCCCCATGTTTCTATCTTATTCCTGTCTTTCTGGCTCCTCATCCTCCCTCCCCTATCACCTTCCTCCCTTTGTATTTCTAACAAAACCACAGGGTGCAGCTTCTCCTTCCCTTTCCTCACCCCAAGACAGAAGGAGAGAATCTCATACCTTCAGGCCAGAAGTTAAGAAGCACTGGGTTTATGGCACTGCAGTGAGTGATTTTCTCCAGCAGCTTCTGTCACCCAGATTGAGCATTCCCATCTCAGCTGCATCTCTTCATGGCTGAGAGACTTGTTTGTACACGTGCGCCTTATGCTCCCAGATACATTCTTCCCCCTCCTGCTTAGGCACCTTCCTGAAAGGACATGAGAAGTCAGCATCTGACTCCAGTTGCAGCAAAGTTACAAGGAATTATTTAATGAGAGGAGGATGCCAGCATGGAGGAAGAGGTGCAGAAATTTATCTTCACTTGCTGTGCTATGCAAAGTATTAAAAAGCAATTGAAAAACAAAGTCTCGATTTCATGGGATGGAGCTGCTCCCCTCACAAGGTGGTATCTCAGGCAAATGCTTAAATGTAATCAGGAGCTGAAGTTATAAAATCATAGATATTCCGTTTCAAAGAGACCATGGTGCAAGGAGAATAGGAGCAGTTCTCTAGTCCAGCATTCTGCTCAGAGCAAGGTTAGCCTTAATGTTAGACTTGTTTGCTCAAGGCTTTGTCCAGTCAGGTTTTGAAACTATTGAAGGAAACAGATGTTGTAGCTTCTCTAGGCAACCTGTTCAAAAGTTTCACCACTCTCCCCATTGAGATTCTTTTCCTACATGTTGAAATAGAAGTTTTTCTTCCAGCTTGCCTCTGTTCTCCTCTATCACTTCTCCAGAGCTCAGTAACAACGATTTTCACATGTGCCTCACTCACCATTAAGCACAAAGCAAAACCTTTGGCAAAACACAAACAACAGGATCTGGAAACCAATGTCACCAGCCCCTGAAGAGGGAAGGGAGTGGGAGGCTGACTGTTTTACTCCGATGAACTTTCTGTCTGGTTCTCCTGTTGTCCCTCCTTATAACATGCCTTCCTTTCCCACTGTCCTCACTGAATTAGCCTCCAGCTAAGCAACCCACTTGCCCCCTCACTTTCAAACCTGCTCCATAGTCATCCTTGATCCCTTCCAAGGCAGCAACCTTACAAGTGCTGCAGGACATCAACAGGGTGCTGTCACCTTCCTCTCCTGCCTTGGTGCACCCTCTGCGAGAGCTGTGGTGGAACGTCTTGCTGGCTTGGACTTTGCCCCATGACCTCATATCACCTCCAAAAAAGACTGAGGAAGCTTTACCAAACAGGTGATGGGGCATAGGTAGAGAAAGCTGCTTAAATGCCCAGGAGCACAGCTGAATTTCTATAAGGCACTTAATGATCCTTGCTCATGGCAGTTTCATCACAGTTCTGCCATCTCATGTCCGTTTACTACAGCTTAAAGGACATGGGCAAGTAAAGGGCAAAGGAGAAGCTGCATCCTGTCTTTATCGACTTTACAGATCACCAGTGGTTCTGGTTTTGCAGCTTTGTCCACCCAGCATAATAAAAATAAAAGCATTGAAACTCTGGATGTTTGGCATAGCTTTGGTGGACTCAGAAGTTCACTGGTCTTTAAGTCTGGATGAATGCAAGGCTCTAATAAAGTCATCCTATACTTTCCTCCCAAGGCCTAATGCAGCAGCCTGTGACTTCTAAAGTATAACTGTGATCTACCAGCACATCTTTATTCCCTCCTATACCCTTAGTTAACACTGACATGAGGTAGAACAAGAAACTCTATACTGGCTTTTTCCTATTCAGAGATTCCCCCATGTGTGAGTGCCAAGGTATATTCACAGAGAACAGCAAGGACCTAGATTCCCACCATCCAAACACCTGTTTTAGCACTGGTGATGCTAAGGTGAGTCATACTAATGAAACTAGTGAAAGAATGACAAGAAGTAGTAAAAAAAGTCAAGCACATACATAGCTCATTAGACAGTTAGTAAACTGATGCTGTATTATGAGCAACTATGTGTGATCGTGTCATGACAATTAAAGACTTTGTTTCTTACTCACCTGCAAAGGGGGAAGATTTAAAACTGTGTTTCAACTTTAATGCCTTGACCTCAAGTGGTTTTGTCTTGTTAAAAAATGACTATCATTAGTGAAAGCTGACAAAAGGCACTTGGGCCTGAAAGAAGGAAAAGCAATTAAAACTAAAGCAAGGACACTTAACCTTGTATCATTTCACTTTTCAGCACTCCTATGGTTCTGGTGTTACCAATTTGGATTTTTTTTCTTATCTTCAGATCTTGATGTGTTGAGAATTAACCCAGATAGCTTTACTGAAGCAGGGAGCATCCTCTGCTGCATTAGAATTCACTTAACTGAGTCAGCTCTTACAGTTCTATAGGAGAACAAAGGTAAATGCTTCCTCCTGAAAGCCTTACTTGCAGACCACTTGAGCAAATTCATATGTACATTACTACAAATGAAGTATTTACATTTTTAACAGAATATAATTGAAAAGGTCAAATAACAACAAATATGGCAATTTAAATCCCTCATGTCTCTCAATCAATCTTTCTACAACAAATAGAGAGAGAGAGAAAGGAGAAGAGGCAGCAGTGTGTGATTACCAGAGCAATAGCACTGAAGCAATACACTGCAGAAAGCACATAGCTCTCTGCACAGAAATCAATTTCTCCCATGGGATGGGGTCGATAGTTGTCTGACAGGACACTATACAGGCAATTTAATAGCATTTTATCTAAATGAATCTATTCCTCCCCTCCCCAGTTCATAAGAAGCCTTTCTTAGTAAAATTTTTTTTTTTAACAATAGGGAAGTATTTATCATTCTGAAAACATGACCGTTGTCTATTAAAAATCATTTATCCCTATTAGTTACCCATGACTCACAACTCTACCAACATTGTTATTCTAATCAGCTAACTCATTCACACAAACCATAAAAATTACTTTCAGTTACTCTGGAAACATTTTCCTTACCATAAAATGTTTTAAGCTGTAGATCACCCTTTCAGGAAAAACAAGCCAAAGAAATAGGCAAACTCGGTTGGTTTGAGGGAGTGTTGCTATCTGAAATGACATTTTTATGCAAGAAAAAGCTTATTTTTTGACAAATGTGTAATACATAGAGATTGGTTGTCCAGTATATTTATTTTAATAGTACTTCATAAATAATAAAGCTGAGCTGATCTTGTTAGCAGATATCTGTGTGAAGTAAATGGTAATGAATGAGAAACCCTAATAAGCATTATTCCAAGGATGGATCTTTGCCGCTCTGGGAGTTTGGTATTGTGCCCCAAAGGCTCTTGTAAATCCAGCTGCAGTTCTTGTTCATCATTTAGAAGATTAGGGGCTGATAAGCGACAGTCAAGTCTTATTAGAACAGGCTAAGGCAACAGGAAACATTAATTGGGTAATTTAATGCACAAGGAGACAACAAATGCTTGCATTGTGGTTCAGATGCTGTTTTCTCTATTGATTTGTCATGTCTTATTCCATTAAATTCTCACATATTTTTGATGGAGAGACCATAAGACAAAGTCTAAGTTTAAAAATACAGAATACTTTTACTACTTCTTACAGTTTCCCTTTGCTCTCATGTTACTGAGGGACCCATAAGTAGCCCTGTCTTTGGAAGCCAAAGAATGATGACAGCTCTGTTGCCCAAGGACTCCTCCAACAAAGGAGGGGAGAGATCCAACATATAGCAGCAATCTGCAGTGAAATTGCATCTCACCATCTTATTTGTGTTATGGTTTCATCACAGCATGTGCACACAGCAGTACTGCTGTGACTCTGTGAGGAAGTCCAGCCACTCTTTCCCTCTAGAAAGCTGGGAGTGCTTAACAAAGCCCTCTTCTCTTTCACCATTCTGGAGCAGACGTAGAAATGGTTGTTGAGCTGATATTACTCTGGAAGTACGGAAGATGAGAGGAACCTCCTGACATAGGTGCTTCTTCCCTGTCTAATGACAGAATTAATCTACTCATGTGAGTGCACTCAGTCCCCTCAGGGGTGGGTATTGGTGTTTGGAGCACCAAAATCTCAGTTATATACCAGCTCCTCATTTGGGTCCCATTCTAAGATTTCCTTCCATGAGACATCTTTCCCACAGCTGAAAAGGAGGGAAAAGAGGTTCTCCTATTGTGGAAGAAATTCAACATGAGATGGGGGAAGTGTGTCATTTACTTAGCTGCCTTAGGCACTCTTTCCATCTCATTTCTAACACTGTAACTTGGAAGATCGGGGGTGATAATTTTATTTTTATAACTCACATTTGCAGCAATTTAAATATTAAAATGCAGTTTGAAGGCATGCAAGCATCATTGATTTCAAATAAACATTGCACGTTATGCTCTGTTTAACAGCATTCAGTTTCACTTTTTGTAGCTTTATTCCACTTTCAGGCATGGCTTTTGAATCGCTCCTTTCAAAGATTCCCAGCCACAGCCTATCCCTTCCACCCAGCAGCCTGGCACTGTTTCTGCTGTGAGTAAGGTTCCTCAAGCCTGTGGCACTGGCTGTAAGGCCACTCACTCCTCATCACCTGCTGCAGCAAACGCACTGTGGACAGAGAACCTCTCCACTTCAAGCTACTTCAAGACAGTCACATGTGAAGTTGGTGTCCTCCTCCCACCTCCTTATATTTAAGGAAGGAAATAACCTCTCTGGCTCTATTTACCATATGATGTGGTGCTGTAGGGTGCCTATTAGCAGATCCCCAACGTCATGGCAGCCTTGGTAGAAGAGGCAGGGTCCACCTACAGCCAAACACATCCTCTCTACCACCACATTAACCAGAGTTTTAGCTGTGCTCCTTGTATCTCCTCAAGAACTGACCCAAATACAATGATCTGAGACTGTCCACTAGACCAAAAACAGGAGCATGCACATCTTCTTGTCAATACAGTGCTTATTTGTACTTGTACTTGACCATGTAGTTCCAATCCCATTGTCATGGGCAGGACCCTCTAGACCTCAAAGCCCCATCCAGCCTGGCCTTGAACACTTCCAGGGATGGGGCAGCCACAGCTTCTCTGGGCAACTTGCTCCAATAACTCGCCATCCTCACAGTAAAGAATTTCTTCCTTATATCTAATCTAAATCTACCCTCTTTAAGTTTAAATACATTCCCCTTGTCCTATCACTACTTCCCCGTATAAAAAGTCTCTTTCCAGCATCCTTATAGGCCCCACTCAGATACTGCAAGGCTGCTATGAGGTCTCCATACAGCCTTTTCTTCTCCAGGCTGAACAAGCCCAACTCTCTCATAGCCTGTCTTCATAGGAGATGTGCTCCAGTCTTCTGATCATCTTTCTGACCTTCCTCTGTCTTGCTCCAGCAGGTCCATGTTCATCTTGTGTTGGGGTACGGGATGCAGTAGTACAGGTGGGGTCTCGTGAGAGCAGAGTAAAGGGGCAGGATCACCTCCTTCGACCTGCTGGTCATGCTCCTTTTGATGCAGCCCAGGATACGGTTGGCTTTCTGGGCTGCAAGCGCACACTGAAGCTGGCTCATGTTCATTTTCTCATTGACCAACACCCCAGAGTCCTTCTCTGCAGGGCTGCTCTGAATCTCTTCTCTGCCCAACCTGTAGCTGTGCCTGGGATTGCTCCGACCCAGGTGTAGGACCTTGCACTTGGCATGGTTAAACTCCATGAGGTTGGCATCAGCCCACCTCACAAGCGTGTCAAGGTCCCTCTGCATGGCATTCCTTGCCTCCAGCGTATCAACCGAACCACACAGCTTGGTGTCATCGGCAAACTTGCTGAGGGCGCACTCAATCCCACTGTCCATGTTACCGACAAAGATGTTAAACAAGACCGGTCCCAACACCGATCCCTGAGGGACACCACTCGTTACTGGTCTCCAGCTGGACATTGAGCCATTGACCATAACTCTTTGAGTGTGGCCATCCAGCCAGTTCTTTATCCACCGAGTGGTCCGTCCATGAAATTGATGTCTCTCCAATTTAGAGACAAGGATGTGATGTCTTGGACATCAAGCTGCTGACCACAACAATTTGAGTGCAACCATCCATCCAACTCCTTATCCACTGAATGGATTCGTAAAGTGGTCCATCCATCATACCCATGCCTCTCCAGTTTAGAGACAATGTTGTTATATGGGACAGTGTCAAATGCTTTGCATGAGTCCAGGAAGATGCCAGTCTGTCCTATCTATTAACAATGTAAATCCATTGCAGAAGGTCACCAAATTCAGCAGGCACAATTTGCCCTTAGTGAAGTCATGTTGGTTGTCACCAATCGCCTCCTTATTTATCATGTGCTTTAGCATAGTTTCCAGGAGGCTCTGGTCCATGACCTTGACAGGCGCTATGGTGACACTGACTGGCCTGTGGTTTCCGAGGTCTTCTTTT